TTACGAGACAAACAAATCAATTTTTTTTCTCTGTGCAACGCACTTGTAATATGTTGGGCTTGGCCAATTCACAAGTGCTGCATTTGAAATCAACATTATTAAAATGGGAAAACAACCGAGGAAATAACTTTTTCAGATAACTAAAGGAAAGGTGACCAAGTCTTCGATGCCATAGCAAAATGGTAGCACGGGACTGTTCTGGACCGATTGTTGCACATATAGTAGCCAAAGAAGGATGACTAGGAACATAGACCTCTAAGAAGTAAAGTTGGCCACGTCTAACACCATAACCAAGAGTAGTACGAGTGGGGATGTCCTGAAAAACACAACGAGAGGGAAAAAAGGTTACTGAATAGTTAAGCTTTGACGTTAATTAGCTCACAGAGAGTAAATTGTATTCAAGAGAGGGTACAACCAACACAGAGTCTAGAAATAAGTTATCAGAAAGGGTTAAGGATCCTTGACCAGTAATTTTTGAGGTACCCTCATTGGCAGTGGAAATAACAGATTGGGAAGAATTACAAAGATTGAACAACTAGGAAGAATCTTTAATCATATGATCAGAAGCACCTGTGTCAATTATCCAAATATAATTCCTAGACAATGTATAGAAAGCAAGAGACTTACCCAAAATGCCGAATTGAGTAAAATTGGCAGCTGGGACAATAGCATCTCTAGCGGAGACAATGGTCATGGCTTTGACAAGCATTTTCTTCCGGGGACGTTTATTGAAATTCAGAGGAGTTGAAGATTCAGAGGAGATTTTGGGATTGTTCATGGGAAAATAGAAATTCGAAATGGGTAACAGAAAAAAAAATTCAAGTTAGGCAAATTGAAAAATACGATGTGAGAGGTTTAATGAAAATAGGTTATTGGATCAGAAATGCTCTGATACCATGTCAAAACAATGGTGCTATATTATGAATATATCTTCGTATTTATTCTTCCTCTACTGGGGTAATTATATACATAAATGAGGACTCCTGGTCCATTACAAATTAGCCGTCAATCAGCTATAAATAAGGAAATGAAATAACCTGTTACTATTTCTATTTACTACAAATCTCTTATGATTATGTCAATCAACTGCAAATAAGAAAATTAATCTATTTAATACAAATCTCCTATGATTATGTCAATCAACTGCAAATAAGAAAATTAATCTATTTAATACAAATCTCCTATGATTATGTAACTGTGTAATCAATGATTAAAATTTCAACAATTGTACAACTCAACAAATATTATCTCATTTCAACAGTTATGAATTAACCCCTTCAACCTTGACTTTGTGTTCACACTTAAGCCAACTTGAAATGTTTCCTGGAAAATAGTTTATCATTGCCACTTTGTGTTCACACTTAAGCAGAATGGGTTTTACACTTTTGCAAGTGCAGGTGCAGGCTTCATCGTTGCTTAAATTTGTGTAAATAATTGTTTAATAGCGTCTCATTATTTTTTGTACGTTACATAATACAATTACATGTTTTGTCCTACAAAATTTTATTTAACATTTCTATTTAAAAAAGAATTATCTTACTATTTTGTGCTAGTTTTGAACTTCAAAAGGCACGACATTCACGCTGGCTTCATCGATGCTTAATTTTTTGTAAATAATTTTTTAATAGTGTAACACCCCGTGTATACTCGGTTTGTTATCATATTACCGTATTAAGCGCAACTTTATTAAATGCGGAAGCTAACTTTTTCTTTTCAATTATGACGTCATTATTATTAACCAAGTTGATTACTTAATCCATTTTCAAAACATTGCATGTATGTACACTGCAGTAAAAGCTATCTGAAATACCTCATATATAAATGTGTATCTAGTCACAGAATCACAACACGAAGTCCGAACAAAATCTTGATTCATTATACAACATGAGTCTTAATAAACAAAGCATAATCAATGTGGCATGGACAATCTTCATGCTCACCAAATAAGGCAACAAAGTCCAACAAAGTATCAGCTCAAATAACATATAATGACAATATAACATAAATTAGCATCCAAGCATATTAGCATAAACATGCATACATCAGTCAACTAAGCTCTGGCCTCCTGCCGCCGAGGTATCAACCTTCGAGGTACCTGAACCTGAAAATGTGCCCCAAACGTGGGGTGAGATCTCTAAAAAAAAATTTCAGTAAGACAAGGGGTCCTTAATGATCTCTTCACCCCAAACTCACTTACATGTGCAATATAAGTTCAAAAGAAGTTTAACAGTATAAGTTCCAAAACGGTGCAATGCAGCATATAGTCATGTCATGTGTGTCAAAATCCTACTGGTCAGAGAACATGTAGAAATTACATACGTCTACAATCTACAATAGTACAAGACACTACTTGTACCCACCCACAGAATCACCATTTTGTATGACGCTACATACTCAGGCTTACCGCCTAGGTGGAACAATACATACATATCATAAGGCACTTGCACTTAACAGTTCAATAACATTTCATAAAAGCACATCATGCATATAAACCATCCCTCCATGAGGTACGGTGGAACAAATAATGAGCAAAATCGAGAACACGAAAACTTACCTTGCAAGCTAACTATTCAACTCAAGAGTCCAACCCAATCCAAGGTCCACAAACAACACTCTCACAGTGTGTTTATATCAGCAATCATATCAACATTCATAATCTAAAATTTTATGACATAAAGACAACGTTTCCTTTTACGTTTCATGCCATTAGGCTTATCCTAAAGCCATAAGCCCTTAATCTAAGTGATTCTGACTTGGTTCAATTGTTACAGAGGTTCAACTTAACCAATCATGGGTCTATAAACCCAATATACCATTCTGTATGAACAGAACAGTGACCAACTTGCACTTTCCCATAATATCCGGATATATGTCGGGGCTATATCCGGATATCCATATCCCGATATCATATCCGGATATCCATATCCAGATATCACAAGTCCCATATCCGGATATTCATATCCGGATATCCATATCCGGATATCATATCCGGATATCATATCCGCGATAGAATGCAGTTTTGCATTTTCGCAAAGATATCTCTTCAAGGTTCCATTTTTAACACTACTATACGTCCAAGAATCCATTTTTAGACACATTAAGGACAGTGATCATGTTGGTTACTTATCATCTCTTTTTACATACCAAGACTCAACTTTTATCAAAGAAAACTCATGAACAAGGTTCAAGGACATACCCCAAAGCTCAAAACAGAAAAAGGGTGCTCTTGGAGCTCTATATGCAGCTCCCATGGTTCTGACTTCAAAGAGCACGAAAATGAGCATCAAGGTTGGTCTTTTTTCAACAAAAATGGCTTCTTGAGACAACTCAAGCAAGGAAAATGGCTCTCACCACCACACTAAAAAGGTCAACCTCTACCACCACAAAACAGAGACCAAAACTCGTAAAACCAAGGCTTCTCTCCCACCCAAGTCTCTCCAACACACAACCATGGTGTTGTGATAAAGAAACAATGAAGAAAGGTAGTCACTTTGGAGGTTTCTATGGAGAAGATGAAGGTGGCAAGGTGGAGGAAGGTGGCGACAGCTCACTTTGGTAAGTTACATGATACAATTACATGTTTTGTCCTACAAATTTTTATTTAACATTTCTATTTAAAATTTGCATTAACTTTCTGCGTGAATGTCGTAGACTTTTCAAGTTCAAAAAATAGTACAAAATAACAAGATAATTCTTTTTTATTTCATATATTTCTCAAGTAATAGATTTGCTTTTTTATTTTTTGTTCTTTCATGTTTAAAGCTCCACCATTGTACCGTTCAGAGCTTGATAGCAACATGAAGGTGTTGATTTATCGGTGCGATGATTAATTAACTAACGACGGCTGACAACAATTTCATTTTTTTTCCTCCGGATATCGCACGGATAACTCACTAGTTTTATGAATTATGCATAAAAATAATATTATTTCATCTAAAATAATACAAAATTAAATTATTTAAAATGACCAACATTTTTTTCGTTAAATCATTAATAAAATTGTAGTTTAATCGAAATAACTATCATTTTCCCATATAAAATTCGATTCGCGCGTGGCCTCGTGGGCTTTCCTTTCTCCACGCCGTTCAAGATTGACCAGTTCATGTACAACTGGAATCATGAGGCATCCATACTTCCAAAATTATTTTCTTAAGCGACCATAGTCAAGATTGTAGTACTTTGTCAGATTTGTTTATGTATTTAAATAAAACAAAACGTGACAATAGTAACAAAATTTAGGCTAACACATAAGGAGAGGAGAAGAGCCTTCGTGCATCGGGAACATTAAATTTTAAGTGGTCCAAATCAAAAGAATGTGATAATTAATCAGAAAAGAGGTGAGAGAAGAGAGTAAACAAATTTTTTTATACAAGTGTCAATATCTCCCTGAAAGAAACATATAGGGGTACGACCACTAAAAAATTTTCCCAAGGAAAGAGCGCAGTTGATTTCAGATTCGAGTCACAGGCATTTATCTATAAATATTTTTATTTGATTGATGACTTGTAATAATTTTTTGTATCCAAGCCAACAATGAAAACGCTAAAGCCAATTAGTCAGTCAAGCAAGTGGGGGCGCTGATGAAGGTACAGTATGTATAAATTCCAAAAGTGAACCAATAATAAATTCCAAAATGCTTTCAATAATGTTAAGTGTGAACGCTTTCTCTGTACGGGTCGACCCAGTTCAAATACCTACTTTGTGAGTGTCTGGGGAAGGGAATATTTTGGGCAGTCTTTCCCCTGCTTTTTGCAGAGAGGCTGATTCGAACCCGCGACCTGACACACCACGGCAAGCAAATTTACCGCTGAGCCAAGCCGGCCCTTCGAACGCCTTCTCTGTCATAAAAAATAATTTGGCGTGATTTATTTCTTTCTATTTTTTTTGTATTTATTTTTAATGCTCCCAGACAGTGTGAAAGTATCATTCAGTTGGTCAAATGAAACGAGAAAGTTACCCATAAATGCAAGACAGAAGCAAAGAACTTGATCCAGACAAAGATGAAAAGGAGAGGAATATCTTCTGCAGCTATCGTTCTTTTCGTATTCCTACAATCTTTTTGTAATGCCTTATCCATCCACGATTGTCCTGCTTCCTCCTGTGGCAATATTCCCAACATAAGTTATCCATTTCGACTCTCAGGTGACCCACCACACTGCGGCAACAAGAGGTACGAACTAGTTTGCCAGAAGAACAACGCAACAATTTTAGCTCTGCTTTCAGGAAAATACCATGTACACGAAATCGATTACAAAAGACGTAAAATCCGAGTGAGTGACGCAGGGGTTACGGAGGACACTAGTTGCTCCTTCATCCCCCGCTATTTCTTAGGTTCCACCAATCTCACTGACGATACTGCTCATATAATAAATCCGCTGAGTTTGGCCCCGTTTGATGATCGTGGAATAGCAGCATACTTCAACTGTAGCAATCCAATCACTAATGATCCTCGATATGTGAAGGTGGATACAACTCGTTGTGGCTCTGGAGGGCACATCTATGCTGTCCTGAAGAAAGATTCATCAAGTGATTTTCGTGTGATGGACATCAAGATTGGGTGCCAACTGAAGGTGGCTACTTTTGCAAATTGGGCGACAAAGAAAGACCACAATAATAAGAAAAACGATTCCTATGATGACATCCACAACATGCTGGCCTATGGATTTTGGCTGTCTTGGTTACATGTTCTTTGTGATGAACAATGCGCAAAGTGGATGATTTGCCGTCCTATCAATGACTCAAGTATCGAATGTGACCGTCCAAGCTGTTTTTCTCTCTTAGCCTTAGGGTCGAAGCGAGTCACCTACGGTTGCGGTAACAAGCACATAATTTCGTTCACGCTCATTTATATATGTTTTAATATCTTTCTAATTTTTGTCTTCGAGCATTTTCTATTTATATTTACTTTTTATTTTGGTAAAAGAGCATTTTCTATTTTATTTATGCTACCAGATGATCAATAATTATACATTTGTCTTTTTTTTTTGGTAAATATAAACATTTGTCTTTTTTTTAATGAGTAATGTTATTTTTCTCAGAAAAGATAATAATTATTTACACAAAAAACATGTTTTATAGCTCATGTAACTCTCGTCCGTATTCTTTATTCTTTTTTTTTTTTTTAAATATTTCTCTGCATCAATTATACGGATTTTTCTTTGGTTTTGTCGTACTCCTCTTCTCTTAAATGAGAAATTTTTATTTCATTAAAACCAAGACCTCAAATCCCAACTTTTTATCCTTTGTAGAAGGAACGTATGTGCTATGGGAGACCCCAAAATATGTTCCAATTATACACCTTTTTATGCGAGCCAAATGTGAATTTATTTATTTATTTTTAAACAAGAGAAAATGTAAATTCTTTTTATGTGCTACAGTTATTGTATGTTAGTTATTGGGAAAGAAAACTCTTCCCATGTCAAGCCACTGAGTTTGGTTTAATAGTGAGGGATTTGAATAGGTTGTATTAAGTTGTAAGTTGATTTTTCACTTGTAAAAACACAAAAAAAAAAAAAAAAAATCTTTTCACATGTCACTTCCTAAACACTTACATGGAAATAATTGTTTCACATATTTCTTTTCATCTTTTAATACATCATGATTTTTTGTATATGAATTACAATGATTTTCCTTTCTTATTTAGGAAAGAGTGATGGAAAAAATTGGCAGAGACATAAAATTATTAATTAAATCTCACCTAAAATCTTAAGATGTTGAATTGAAGTCGCATTGAATATGATATCAGAGTTGAGTAAGCAAGTGCTCATGAGTTTGTTATTATTTCAAAATTATCAGCATAGAATTTCAATTCAAGTTTGTCAGCTGAATTTCCCTACTGCAACTTTATTCAGTAACAAAATTATATTCTAAGTTAATTTGTGTTTTGTATAAACGTTTATGATTGACAGTACTCATAATATTGTAATTTAATTATCTGTCATTATATTGTTTCAAACAGTCTAATCAAAGTTTTTAAACACATGCAAATGTGATTTAGAACAATACTATATATATATATGATCATATAAAATTCTTTTTATAAAACTTCATTTAGTTCTCTAATTTTTTTTTTCATTCTATTCTTTTCTTTTAGTTGATCTGTCATTGGACATCATACTTGGCATTATAAGTAAGAAATCTATCCTTTCTTCCATTAATCTGTTTTCAGTTATTTTTGTTTATATATATATATATATATATATATATATATATGGGTCAGAGTTATTTTACACCAGTATAAGTTACATTCTCAATCTTGACCATTGATCTCACTTATATCTAAGGGCTCTAATTTTTTAGTAATGTGAGCCATTGAATACAAGTGGATCAATGGTCAAGATTGAGTCTAAAACTTCTAACTCTTACACTGGTGTAAGAACATCCTGCCTTTATATTATATATATATATATATATATATATATATATATATATATATATATATATAATGTCTTTTTCAATTTGTTGATATCACAAAGATTTTTTACAGGTTCATACATCGTAAGTGTTTATGAAGGTAACGTTTTATTCCTCTGGCATGTATTTTCCTTTCTATATTTTCTCATTGACTATATATCATTTAATATAGTCTTATCAAGATTAATCCCAGCAAATTCAACAAATATATGAAAAATTTATTAAAAAATTAAACCAATGTTTATGCGTAAAGAGATAAATTCTAGTTATGGTACTCTTCCAGATTGAAAATTTTATTATTAGATGCATTAGAATGTAAATTTAATGGTTTTACAATAATTCTACCCGACACTTTCGAGTGAAATGTAACTTTTAACAGTTTTGTTGTTCACATTTAATTGTAATAACCTGTAACTATTTCGTTAGAAAAGTTGGCATGGCAAAGCATATAATCAGAATAACCGATAATCAGTTCTGGGGTGATATACGCTCCCACCCATGCAGGACTTACGCAAATTTTTGGCGTGAATGTTGATGTCAGCTACGATGGAATTGAAGAAGTTGACATAGGAAGAGGCACGGGAAGGTATGTCTTACCATACTTTATTGTCAGATTTGTATTGGTCGTACCTTTCATTGTACTGTTGATCTATAAATGGGGAAGAAGACATTTATCAAGCTACGAAAATATCGAAGCTTTTCTGCAAGAAAATACCTTCATGCCAATAAGGTACTCATACAAAGAAATAAAGCAGATGACTAAAGGTTTTGAAGAAAAGCTGGGTCAAGGAGGGTTCGGTATGGTGTATAAAGGAAAGCTACGTAGTGGTCCATTTGTTGCCATAAAGATGTTGAATAAATCAAAGGCTAATGGGCAAGAATTCATCAGTGAAATCGCAACCATAGGAAGAATACACCATGCCAATGTGGTTCGACTAATTGGATTTTGTGTTGAGGCATCAAAACGTGCTCTTGTTTATGAATTCATGCCCAATGGCTCTCTTGATAGACATATTTTCTCTAAAGAGGATAGTATTTCTTTATCTTACGAGCAAATATACGAGATTTCTCTTGGAGTGGCTCGTGCTATTGCTTATCTGCATCAAGGTTGTGACGTGCAGATTTTACATTTTGATATCAAGCCCCATAACATCCTTCTTGACGAGAACTTTACCCCTAAGGTTTCAGACTTTGGCCTCGCAAAGCTTTATCCAATAGACAAAAGTATTGTGACTTTGACAGCAGCAAGGGGAACAATTGGATACATGGCCCCTGAATTATTCTACCATAATATTGGGGGAGTTTCGTACAAGGCTGACGTCTATAGCTTTGGAATGCTTTTGATGGAAATGGCAAGCAGGAGAAAAAACTTGAACAAAGAAGCAGAGCATTCAAGTGAGCTTTTCTTTCCTCTTTGGATTCATGATCAATTGAGCAGAGAAAATGAGTTGGGAATGGAAGATATTACCGAGGAAAAGAATGATAAGGCAAAGAAGATGTTCGTAGTTGCGTTATGGTGTATACAGTTAAAACCAAGTGATCGTCCTTCAATGAACAAAGTAGTAGAGATGCTGGAAGGAGAAATTGAGGGCATTGATATGCCACCAAAACCTTCCCTATATCCAGATGAAATGATTCAAGAGGATATCACAACCAACTCAGACCAAACTCTATCAGATGATTCTATTGGTTCTACAAGTTATCTTGAGGAAAGTTATGTTCATACTTTATACAAGTATTCTGCTTCATAATTGTAATGAATTTCGTTTTACATTTTCTTGCCAAATGCACTATATATGAATTCACGGTTACTTTCGTTAAGATTTTATCTATGGATTTGAACATGCACCAAACACAACCTTGATGTACCTAACAAATATCGATTTCGATTAATATTTTAATTAACAAACAATTTTTTTTTTCAAGTCTCTGCTCAAATCTCACAACCTCTTCCTTGTTTCCATTATTCAATTTTTATTTTTGTTTCAAATCATCTACCGGTATGTGAGCTGGATTCACAATATTAGATTTCAAAGTTGCTTTGTTCCGGGCTAGCCCTTTCTTCTACCAAAATATTATCAACACTCTTATTTATTTTGATATCAATAACTTAATAAATTTTATTACATTAGTAATCTCATAAAATATCAATTTCATTAAGAAATTTTAGTTTGATTGAAATAACTATCAATTCAAGTGAACTCCAAAAAAATTCACAAGGGGATTTGGGGCTTTTCATTTCTCCACTCCTTTCGAGATTGAACAGTTATTGTACAGCTGGAAGCATGTGGAGGCGTCCATACTTCTAAAGTGAATTATTTTTATGGAAAAAATATTTGTACTCTTAAATTACATAACTTGTGTCATTTCACTTTCATCAAAAGGTGAGATCAACATCTTTATATTTTTTTTTGTCCACACTCTCTCTTTTCTTTTATCTATCTTTTTCTCTCACTTGAAATAATATAATTTTACATCTTCTAAAATGATACATATTTTTTCCTATTTTCATAAGGGGGCAGATTATATTTACAAACTTTTTTGTTTACAAACTCTTACAAACTACACTAAGTAGACCGGTCATATTTTAATCATGCAGTGTACGATCGATCGTATTTAGTGTAATTTGCAAAAAAAAGTTGATAAACGGATCCTATCACTTTCATAAATACGACCATAGTCAATATTGTAGCAATTTGACGGATTTGTTTCGGTATTAGAATAAAATACAACGCGACAAAAAAATAGCTAAATTTAGGCTACCATAGAAAGAAAGCGCGCAGTTAATTCATTAAATTGTCAGATTCGAGGCATAAACATTTAATTAATCAATATTTTTATTCTATTGACGACTTGTAATATTTTTTGCATGCGAGAGATGGACATATGGGAATATAGGAAATTGAATGTGGGTATGGTAGGAAAGAAGGAAGAAGGAAATGACAACAATGAAAACGCTAAAGCTAGTTAGTCAGCAAGTCGGGGCGTTCATTAGATGCTGTATATATAAAATCGAAAAGCGAAAAAATTAATAATCCAAAATGCTTAAAATAATGTGAAGTGTGAACGCAGTCTGTCAGAAAACACGTGGCCTCCACAGCGCTATAATTTTTCTTAGTGTGATTTCTTTCTTTGGTACTTTCTTTTTTCAAGGCTGATTAGTGAATCACTAGTATTAATGCCCACACGTACTTACCGAAAAGACAGTGTGAATCAGTAGTCAATTGGTCAAATGAAAGGCAAGGGAGGATAGAGAAGCAAAGAACTTGATCTGGACAACGATGGAAAAGAGAGCAATATCCTCTGTAGCTACCATTCATTTCGTATTCGTACAAAGATTTTGCTGCCTTATCCATCGACGATTGTCCTGCTGCAAAATTTCCAGCAGAAGTTATCCATTTCAACTCTCTGTGACCCACAAGAGGTACGAACTAGATTGCGAGAACAACGCAACAATCTTTGTAACGATCCGAAATTTAAAGAATTAAAATAAATTGAGTCGCCATCAATTTTATTTACTTTGGAAAAATTGGAAAACCTTTTATTGCAAACTGGTCTTTAAAATTATAGATCAAAGGTTCGGGAATCTAATTATGCTCAAGGAAGGGTGGAAACTTAATCTCACTGCACCCCTGACACATCCGTTTAAAAACGGTTACCTTAAATTAATTGTGTAAATTATTAATAGCTTTTTAAAAATATTTGCTTAATCCCTTAAAATAACTAAACATAATTATTTAGAAAATGAGAAGACTAAATTACTAAAATTTTATTTTAGCTTGACGGAAAGAGTTCCGCTCCGACGTATCCTCAGGTGCAGTGAGGAATTCAAAGCTACGTCGTTCTTTAATAATATTTGTGTGTTGGTTGGTTTTAAATTTCGGAGTACCAAGTGTCACAGCTAAAATAATTCTGATCATGCTCAGGGTTGACAAGCCGGCTAAATTACCTCTTTTTCTAAAAAAAAATAAATTTTATGCAATTATTTTCATTAATACGAATTTTGTGATGAATTTGAATAAACTATGAATCACCAAACCGTCACGGTTAAAATGAGCCAAAGTAAAATACACGGGGTTAACAAACTGTCACGGTTAAATTACCCCTTTGTTGAAAATCTTAATGTTTTAAGTTTCATTATAAAAAAGTTTTAGATAAATTTGGAATCACCAAACCGTCACGGCTAAAATAGACCATAACCAAACACTCAGGATTAAACAAGCCGTCACGGCTAAATCACCCTTAGGCGTAACTTTAACATTATTATATGTTTTAAATTGATATGAAAATATGATAAATTTGATTTGTTTCAGATCATCAAGCCGTCACGGTTAAAATGATCCGAAATGAAATACGTGGAGTTAACAAACCGTCACGGTTAAATTACTCCTTTTTAACTAATAATTATTCTTTATTTTCTAAATTAACCCAACGCCAAATAAATTTAAATAGAAACTATGATTGTTTATTATCTTTTTTTGTTTATTATTACTAAACAATTTAAAAAAATCATCGGATTGTCACAATCGAAATGATTTTAAAAATTACAGGATTAGCAAGATGTCACATCTCAGCTAATACCTCAATTTACCATAAATATAAGTGATTTGTCAGTTTACTTATTTCTTAAATCAACTACCTGATTAAGACTGAAATAATAAGTATGAAATAATTTAACAACATAAAATGAACAAAATATGAAAAAGTCTGTGAATTAAGAACGAACCAGCTAAGGTACTCAAATAATCATTTTTTTATATAAAAAAGAAATAAAAAATGAATTAAAGATAGTAATGTATGGACAGAGACAAAAGATGATGTTTGCTAAAGTAATAAATATTTGTCTTTCATAACAATCTAAAGTAGATGGCAACATTGCAAAACTAAAATATCAAAACATTAAAGTACGACAACATTTGCATGGGGAATGTATATATATTAACCGAGAAAAGCTGAAGCTTAGCTAACCTATAAAACATTAAAATATTCCTTTCACAAAGTGGATGTTAACATTGCATTAAAACATTGAAAGATGGCAACATTGCTGCACCGTGGATATGTATATCATATTATAAACAAACAAGTACCTATAAACGAAGTAACAGAAGAGGCGATAACGTTTCAACCATTACGTTTATTTTATTTTTGTAATTTTCAGAATATTTAAACCTATTTTGTCAACAAATAAATAAATACATACCCAATACAAAAAGATAAACATTCATTCACATGGACAGGGATTATAGGAAACACGGACAATTTGGTTATTTATTTTTATTTTTATTTTTTATTTTTATTTTTTATTTTTATTTGTTTTAACATCAAGAGAGAAGGCTACTTAATCTACCAAAAAAAAAAAACGAAAGCTGATGCTGTAGATAATCATAGCATTCCTCCTTCTTTTTTATGAGTTTTAAAATTTTCTCAAAGTAAACGACTTGTCAGCATCATGATATCCTATTTTTATAGCTAGACCAGCTTTATCGAAATGAGGATTACTAAAGAGATAAGTAAAGATGAATTGATCACATACTGGGAATTTAATAACATAAAAGGGCCATGACAAGAAACGTTCTTTTCCTAAAACTAATTGGCGCAAACCCACACTAATGAAGATTAAAAAAATAATTAATTGAAATATTTGGGCAATCAGAGTAAGAACTATGTAAGCAGTAGAAAAAATTATTTTTTTTATTTTTTAATATTCACCTTAAGTAGTTTAGGCCTACATAACATGTATGTAATAGTCCATTATCCAATATTTGGGTGCCAAAATTTTTATGGCCACGAATCCACAAAATTTTCGGCTATGTTCCAACTGACAAACATACATAATAGTTAATAAATGATAGAAAACAAAAAGAGAGTGAGAAAATAACTATTATAATGATAAATACAACTAAAATATCATGAAAGTGAACAAGGCCTCTAGCGTTTGAAGAAAAAGAGAAAAAGAAGGATGAAGTGCTTTGTTACCAGTATGCAAGAACATCAAAGGGGTTTTGGTATAAAGGGGTGGATCCTGTGATCTTTGGTAGGTGCAGAGGCGCGCAGTGCTTGTGGTGTTTGGACCGGTGGTCGATGGCTTCTAGACACCTTTCATGGTGGCTTGGCGGTGGCTAATATAAGATCTTGAGTTTTCTAATTTTTTTTTTCACCGTGAGGGAGATTGTGGAATCCAAATGGAAGAAGGTTGTGTGGTCTTCCTCTCTTTTGTATGAAAGTCTCTCTTGTCCAGAAGTTTTTTTTTTTTTACGATCCCCGTTTTGAACCGGCCTCCCTTGTTTATATAGTCCTTCATCAACGTAGTTTTATTTTTTTTTGTGATTTCTTGATTCCTCTCTACTCCATCCCATTGGTGGTCAGGCATGCTGCTATTCTTTTATGCAGAGATAGCATTGACCCATCCTCTTTGGTATTTGTTCTTCAAGGTGCTTTCTGTAGGTTCCAAATGCTTGTCTCTCTTTGGCATAACTTTGTTTGGTAGCATTAAACTCCTTTGTTTTTGCTTCAACAGTGGGGGGCAAAGTCATTTTCAGCGTGCTACACTCTTCCTCAACCGTCCTTTTGCTTTGTTTTGTTTTTTAGCCTTTGCATCGTGTACCCAACGGAGGAGGGGTGTTTTACTGTGAAGAATTGTCTGCTCTTATTTGTTTCCTTGTGTCAAACGTTGAAGTGGCTGAACTACTGCTCTGTATGTACAGCTAAGGATATTTGTCTTCTTCAAGAGAGGCAACGGCCAAGAGAAATT